TTCTTTTTCCTTCCTTCCTTCCTTTGTCTGTCTGTCTGTCTTTCTTTTTCCTTCCTTCCTTCCTTTGTCTTTCTTTCTTTCTTTCTTTCTTTCTTTCTTTCTTTCTTTCTTTCTTTCTTTCTTTCTTTCTTTCTTTCTTTCTTTCTTTCTCCCCAATCTAGCTTATCTGGCCCTGATCTCTGCAGCTTGACTACAAAAGAAGTTTTGTGGCTGTAACAGGAAAAACGCCAGGCCGGCAGCCACCTGAGGGGCTTGAGGACCTCACACAGGCTGCTGATACATTCACTGTCCCCTTGACACTCATCACGATAATTACACTAACAGATATATATCTATCAGATGACCTTCATGGGCCTTAGATTTCCTCAACCACCTCTCAGAGTAGGTAGGGGAAGGATTCTTATCCCTACTCAACAGATAAGGAAATTTAAGTCTAGAGCAGCTCAATCCTATGATCTCCCCGAGTCACAGAGGCCACCTAGTACAACTCCCTCATTGTACAGAGTAGGAAACTGAGGCCCAGGGAGGGGAAGGGACTTGCCCAAGGTAACACATAGAATCCTACACCTAGAACTAAAAGGAATCTCAGAGGTCATTTAGTCCAATTCCTTCATTTTACAGAGGAGGAAACTGAGGCCCCAAAGAGGCTATAGGACTTACTCAAGGACACATAACACTTTATTCTATATCTTTCTAGGACTCTAGGTGGTACTGCAGTAGATAGAGTGCTGGGCCTGAAGTCAGGAATACCTGAGCTCCAATCTGGCCTCAGACACTTCCTAGTTGTGTGACCCTGGGCATGTCACTTCACCCTGTTTGTCTCAGTTTCCTCATCTGTAAAATGAGCTAGAGAAAGAAAAAGCAAACCAATCCAGTATCTTTGCCAAGGAAACCCCAAATGTGGAATTACAAAGAGTCAAACATGACTGAAAAATGACTGAACGCCACTACCACCTCTCTATTGTACTTATCATGTAATATTGTACATGATTGTTACTTTTGTTTCTTAGCTTCCTGTTAGGTTTTCTCATTTATATTCCATCAAGACAGAGATCTGGACTTACGTGACCTTCTATGTCCCCCAGGGCCTGCATGCAATAGGTGCTTAATAAATGCTTGCTGCCCGAGCATCTGCTATCCAAACATCGCCCTCTTGTTCTTACGTGGGGTAAAACCAGGCCTCTGACATTCCCTTATAAAGGGAGGCCTGAATGCTTTCTTCATCCCTTTCTCCAGTTCTTAGTCCTCAACCCCACTAAATGTTCTCAGTATTTACTCCACATACATCTTGTACTGACTTATCTGTGTCCACATGCTTCTTCCTAGTAGAATATAATAATAACTAATATTCATATAATGTTTTAAGGTTTGTAAGGCATTTTACATATGTTATCTCACTTGGTCCTCACAACAACCCTAGGAGATGGTTGCTATTATTATTCCCATTTTACAGATGAAGAAACTGAGACAGACGGTAAGTGACTTGCCCAGAGTCACACAGCTAGTAAATATCTGAGGCAGGATTTGAACTCAGGTCTTCCTGATTCCAGGCCTAGAACTCTAAAGGCTGCCTCTGTAGACAGGCAATTTTGTAGGCAGTGCCTCGCACACAGTAGGTACACAAGAAATGCTTGTGAACTGACTGAATGAATCAAGGATCCCTCAACCAGAGGATGTCTGCTATGGAAAGGAGTCAATGGAATCACCCAGATGGTAACCCTGGCATTTATCTTGTGTGTACCTAGTTAGGTCTAAACTATTGTCCCCATTGGAATGCAAACTCCTTGAGGGCAGAGCCGATTTCCTTTTGGTCCTCATATCCCTAGGGCCTAGCCCAGTGTGGGGCACATTCCAAGTGTTTAATAAATGCTTGGTGTGATTACAATAGAGCTGGGCCGCAATACCAAATTCTCCTTAAAGGGACCAGTGTGTAACTAAGGTTGGGATTTGCTGGAAGTTCAGGTTTGCAGAGCTTAGAGCGTCCTTCCATTTAATAAGATTAAGGATCATGGGATTGAGGACCAGAAAGGCCCTTCGAGATTTCGTGTGAAGCCCTCGTTCTGCAGCTAACTGGAGCCTAGGTAGATTAACCCGAGATTCCACAGGCAGTTAAGTGTTAGAGGCAAGAGGCCAGGGTAAGGTGTGACCTGGAAATGCTCTAAAGAGAGCATTTGTAAAGTGAAGATTCTGGTACTTAATCCCCAGGACAACAGGCCCACGACAGGAGTTTTGCACTTGAGAACTCCCTAACGGAGGCTACGCAAACATGGCCTCCTTCGGATAATCTGCTGCCTTGGTGGGCCGCACCTGAGGCTGGCAGGATGGCATTCCCGTTCTTCAACCAAGTGATGCCAGGTGTTGGGGTCCCTCCCACTTTACACTGTAGCACAATCTTGCCACTGCTGTTCACATCCAGGTCTGTGAGGTTCTCTATGACATAAGGCGCAACTTTTTCTGCAAAGAGAGAAAACAAGCATGGGTTATTGTTATTGTTATATTATTATTGCTATCATTGGGGCAAGTGGGTGGCTCAGTGGGCCTGGAATCAGGAAGATCTGAGTTCAAATTTGGTTTCAGACACCTACTAGCTGTGTGACCCCAGGCAAGTCACTTTAAACCTCCGTGTGCCTCAGTTTTCCCAACTGTAAAAGAGAGATAATAATAGCACCTACCTCCCAGGGTTGTTGTAAGGATCAAAAGAGATGATAATTGTAAAGCGCTGAGCCCAGTACCTGGCATGTAGTGGGTGCTATATAAATCTTGGCTATTTTAAATTATAATTATTAATAGTAATAATTAATAACAATAGCAACTAGCACATATATTGTTTTTAAGGTTTGCAAAACACTGTATGAGTATTATCTCCTTTTATTCTTGCATATTATCCCTATCTTACAGTTGAGGAAACTGAGGCAGGCAGTGGTGAAGTGACTGACCCAGGGTCACACAGCTAGTGAGTGTAAGAGGCCGCATTTTCAGGCCTTCCAAGCCTAGCTCTCTGTCACTGTGGTGCCCCCTAACCACTGACATTAGAGATTTCCTCCCATCCACCCTCATCCCTAGACCCAGTCTCTCTTTGCCATTTGCTCTTGTAGTCTTGTTTAGGCAGCTGGAAGGGACTTCAGAGGCTTCAATCTAGTTCAACCCCCTCATTTGACAGAAGAGGAAACTGAGGCCCAGAGAAGGGCAGGGACTCCAGGGCCTTATGTAGGATCATAGGTCTAGAGCTGGGAGGGCTTCAGGGACTGTCTAGTCCAATCCATTAACTTTATAGATGAAGAAGCCAAGACCCAAAGAGATGTAGCGACTGCCCAGGGCGACAGAACCGACAAGTAACAGAGTTGGAGTTGAAACTCAGTTCCTGTGACTTGGCTACGAGTCCAATGACCAGGGCTCTATTACCTGGTGAGGGAAGTGGTGTTCTTTAATCAGTTTTAAATGAATAGCTGGACTCCTTCAAATCATTTGCCAACATTTGGGTCTTCTGAGAAATCTACCCTGAGCCACTGTGGCTGGCAACTGACGACCACGTGTCTACTAATATTAGAGTAAAAGAGTAGGTAGCATTGTTCAACAGCTGGGGTATAAGCCTAAGAAAATAATAATAATAATAATAATAGCTGGCATTTATATAAGGTTTACAAAACACTATATATGTATTTACACAAACACACACACATATATATTTGAATATATATGTGTGTATATATATATTTATATTTATATATATTTGAACATATATATATATTTGATATATATATTTGAATCTTTATAATAACCCTGAGAGGTAGCTATTATTATTGTCAAATTAATTATTATATAAACTGTTATATTAATATAATATTAAATTAGAATGGGAGTTTCTTGAGAGCAAGAATTTATAATTTTCTATTTGCGTTCCCAGAACTTTGCACATAGTAAAAGCTTAATAAATTTATTTATTCATCATCTCCATTTTACAGATGAAGAAACTGAGTTTTGAAGAGGGGAAGTCACTGCTAAACTAGTCAGTGTGCGAGACAGGATTCAAACACAGGTCTTCCTGACCCCACATCCAGGGGGGGTCCTTAAAGTTTATATCGTCCTCCCCCTACCCCACCAGCCCATTTTACAGATGGGGGAACTAAATTCCAGAAAGACTGAGTTGCCAAGATTAAAGAGTTAATCACTGGCTGGGCCAGAACTCAAAGACAGGTCCTGGGGCAGCTAGGTGGCGCAGTGGATAGAGCACTGACCCTGAAGTCAGGAGAACCTGAGTTCAAATCCAGCCTCAGACCAAACACTTGACACTTACTAGCTGTGTGACCTTGAGCAAGTCACTTAACCCTAATTGCCTTAAAAAACAACAAACAAAACAAACCAAAGCCAGGTCCCCTGACTCCTGATCCCAGGCTCTCTTTGGGGCAGGCTGCCAGGGGGTGGATTTGCCCTGGGCTTTTACCTCTGGTGAAGAGTCTAGCAGTCCTTTCCAGCATGGCCGTGGTGTTCCTCTGGTACCAGGCCTTGCACTTGTACTGTCCTTCCTGCTGGCGGGACACGTTTCGAATCGTCAGAGTCAAGGAAATGGAGTATTTGTTCACTCGCCTCTCGGTAGATGAGGTAGGAACCTTTTCTCCAAACGGATTGAACCACGCTAGGCCATCGTAGACATATCTGGCTGCTCTGCAGGTGAGCTTAGCGTCATGGCCCTCGATTGCCAAGACCTGAGGTCGGGTTTCCACGTGCCCTGGCACATCTGGGAGGAAGGAAGAACGTTACTGTTCGTGACCAGAACCTGTCCCTGAGCAATAATCCCTCTGCCAATGGCTCCAATTTGATGACCCCCAATGAAGGAGAACTCACTACCTCCCTAGGTAGCCCATTATAGTTTTTCTTGATATTAAGCCTTAATTGGCCTCTTTGTGCCTTCCACCCATTAATCCCAGATCTGCCTTCAAGGGGCCGAGCAGAGGACATAGGAGCTCTCTTCCACATAACAATCCTTCAAAGGTTTGAAGATAGCTATTGCGTCTTTTCCTCCACAGGTGAAACGCCCCTAGTTCCTTCAAGGAATCCTTATATGGCACCAACTAAAGGGCTTTAACATCCTGGTTATCCTGCCCTGGGCCCTTTCACTGTCCTTCCTAAAATGTGGCCCCCACAACTGATAGAATGCTCCTGATGGGATCTGACTGGGGCAGAGGAGAGAGGGGCTATTTAGCTTTCTGGGCAGCCACTGTTCATTCACAAGGAACTTGTGGTCCACTAAAAATCCCAGATCTTCTTTCAGGCAAACTGCTCTCTAACCATGTCGCTCCTGCCTCATCTCTGTCAGGCTGATTTTTTTTTGGAACCAAAGTATAAGATTTTATATCTATCAGTACTGAATTTCATCTTATGAAATTTGGACTAATGTTCAGGTCTAGCAAGATCTTTTTGGATTCTGACTCTTGTTGTCCAGTCATTTTTCAGTCGTATCTGACTCTTCGTGACCCTATTTGGGGTTTTCTTGGTAGAGATGCTGGTGTGGTTTGCCATTTCCTTCTCCCACTCATTTTACAGATGGAAAAACGGAGGCAAACAGGGTGAAGGGACTTGCCCAGGGTCACAACAGATAGTAAGTGACTGAGGCCAGATTTGAACTCAGGTCTTCCTGACTCCAGGCCTCGCGTTCTATCCACAGGACTGGTGTGAAGAACAAATGAAGTAACATTTGTAAAGCACTTAGCACAGGACTTGGTACATAGTAGGTGTTTATATAGCACCTATAAGTTATTATTATTTATATAGATATGTCTCCTTCTAACATAAACAATGGATATAATTAGGCAAAGATGGAATATCCTAGCTGGAAGGCTTAAGAGACATCTAATCCAAACCCCAAAGAGAAGAAATGACTTTCCCAAGGTGACACAGTGAGCTTGTGGAAGAGTATGGCGTAGAACCCAGGTTTCCCAAATCCCAGTCTGGTCTCCTTACTGCTCTCCCTACATCGCCTCTCTTGTTTGCTTTTACATGTTCTGGAGGTGAGGCCTGGTAGGGAAGGGCAGGTGGGACAGGTGTTCAGTGGAAGAGACCTTCAGCTGGGCTTTCAGTGGCAAATACCCTGCTTGGTCAATGAATGGAATAAAGACAGTGGGTGGGTGCTGGTGATTGTTTAACAACCAACTCAACAGGAAAAAAATGCATACCCCATACAATTGTCAGTCGAATTTTCATTATTAACATTTCTCCCATTATTTTCTTAAGTTTAGACAATCACCAAAACCATCAGTGAAGCCCCAATGTGTGTTGATTTCTGAGGTATAAATGCTCACAGTGAAAATTTAACAATCAGTTGACAGGTCCTTCCTTCTACCTCTAACCCTTCAGATGCCATGAGCTCGAAGGTGATTGATCACCTGAAGCTTTGGATATTAACTTTGATGAGTATGGCCAGAGACTGCCAAAGGGGAAAGGTTGCTTTCTCAGGGAGCTCTGCCAAGCCATCACAGCTGGGCCAGGCTGTGAGGACACACACAGGTGCACACCCAATTTTGTTTCAATCAAGAGTGGCTCCAAATGGCTCTGGGGAGGCATTAATTGGGGAGGGACAAATGGTGGGCTAATTTTGGAAGTTTTGTTCATTTGTTTTTGAATAGAGGTGAGGAGTCAGAATGAAAGATTTCTCCCTCAAAAGATAGGCACCTCAAAGGCACTTATTAATTGATGCATCTATAGTAACTGCTGCCTAGTATTTATACAGCGCCCCAAAGTTTGCAAAGTATGTTACAAATACGATTGCATTTGATCCTTACAATAATCGTGAGAGGCAGGTGCTGCTATGATCCATATTTAACAGATGAAGAAACTGAGGCAGGCAGTGGTGACATGACTTGCCCCAGGGTCACACAGTTAGGAAGAATTGGAGACAGAATCTGAACTCAGGTCTTCCAGACTCTAGGTCCTGCATTCGATTTAATTAAGCTGCTTACACGAGTGGAGTGAAGATGATGATGATGATGATGATGATGATGTAAACTAGGTACCTAGCACCATTTCTTAGGGATGCCTACAGACTCCCCCCTCCTCCTCTCCAGGTTGGCTTGATTTTTCATTCTGCCAATATTTATCTTGATCGTGAACAATCACATCCAGCAATGCAAAACCCAGCTGCTGTATTTTATCATTGGCATTGACAGGCTCCAGAATCCATGCTGGCTTTATCTAATCTCCTCAACTCCCAAACAGTGTGGTTTGCAGTTAAGGATTTACATAGCCCGCACTCATATTGGCCCAGAGCCGATGGAACCAGCTGGGGTGTGTTGTATTGCCACCGCAGGGCCACTGGACCTTGATACAGGAGCTGCCGATAATCTTGGTGAGCGTGCCAGCCTTGCTCTCCCAAATACGGGGCCAGCTTCGATGTAAATAGAATCCACTAGCCCAGGCCTCAAAAAGCACAAGAGATGAAGAGCTAGAGGACGAGGTAAGCATACAGTGACTTTTTAAGCAAAGGTCAACTGGAAAGTACCTTCTGTTCTATGTGTGGTGGTACTCCAATACTTCAAAGGCTGCCTAGTGAATCCCCACCAGAGGCATATGAATGGCACGGAGCATCTCATGAATTGGGAGATAAAAACCAGAGGCCCTGGGCAATTCTCTGTGCCATGCCCCTCCCTCATGCCATCTTCCCCAGAGAAGCTGGGACCCTGCCCAGAGCATTCACTAGGCCAATAACCGCCATTGGGGAAGGGATGCACCCAGGTGCACAGCAAAGAACGATTGTGAAAGGCAACCGAGAGCCTCTGGGTATGGAAGACTCCTGTTCACCTCGGCTAAGCTACAACTGACAAATCACTAAGCTGGCTGAGACAGCTCACAATAGCTTTGCCTCTATGAACCGGGGCAAATCTTCCTCAAGGGCATGGGGCTTAACCCCTGTTTCATATCACTGGCCATAAAAAAGAAACATAATAGTAACTCAGACAAGCTCAGTGACAAAGCCAATATTAAACACGTGCTTCTGATTACAGGTAGAGTGTGTGTGTGTGTGGGTGGGGTATGTAGTGGGGAGGGAAGGGGATGGTTGGAACAATGCAATACACAGTATGTATGTGTTCCTGAAAGATGCAGGCACAAAGGGAGCCCTTCAAAAGAAGCGGCTTTTGCCTGTCGATCAGAAACACGTTCCATCTCCAGGGGTGTGGGTCACATGGCCTCTTTCTTCCCAAGCACAGGGCTCTGGAGATGGGAGAGTTGCCATGTTTATGCCCATCTTTTCCATTCCAGGGTTTTTGGGCTCCCAAGATATGAGGTAGGATCACAGGGTCTAAGGCTGGAAGGGACCTTGGAGGTCATTTAATCCAACCCCCTCATTTTACAGAGGGGAAACTGAGGTCCAGGGAGGGGAAAAGACTCACCTTGGGTCACACAGACAGTAAACAGAGGCAGGATTTGAACCTGGTCCCTCCAAAGCCAGGGCTTTTTTTGCTACGTATAGCGCTCACTCATTTTTATTTGAAAAGGAGGAGGGGTGGCAACTGGCCTGCCTTGCTCTGAATTAGGCAGGGAAGCTCCTACTCCCTGGACCCCACGAGCTAAAGGGGAACTTGAAAGGTCATAGAACTCACACTGGATGCAGTCTACCCAGATGGGCATGTGCCCATCTCTGCTAAGCCCACCTGCTCATTCCCATGCTGGGACCCCAGAGTCACAAGCACAAGAAAGGGCCCTACCAGCAGAGGCTACTTGAGCTGGGGCTGGGGCTTGGGCTCAGGGGCAACCCCAGGTCCTGAACTGTTAGCCACAGGCCCTCTATCTCACTGGTCTGCAGTGTAATCCCCCCATCCCAGGCCCAGCCCAAAGAAGCTGCTCTGGGTCTTCATCACCTGGGTTTCCTCTCCTCTGTTCCCCAACTAGGCTGTGCAGTCTTACCCGATGAGACAGCAGTCAACAGAGGAAAGCAGAAAGGAAGGCTGACTCCATTTGTATTTACAAGGAAATAATTGGTTTTAATTTCCTGGGCTTTGCTTGGAGATTGGCTTAATTGAAAACTTCTGTCCCTTCCAGATTTCTGTCTCAGACCTTGTCAGTATAGCCCTTCTAACCTTGGCCAGGCAGGGAGATGGGCTGAGATGACACAGACCCTTCTCTATGTGCCCCATAAACATGTCAAGAGTACGCAAAGGGATGGAAGCAACTTTTATATAAATTGGATATCCATAAAGTGTCAAGGGATGGGGGATGGGGGGAGAACCGGGCCACCTTCTCAGCCAACGCCTGGAAAGGAATTAGATGAAAACCAGTTTTCTTTCCTTTCTTCCCCCTTGCCCGTGGGCCCGTACTAAGAGGGTCCCTGTGGGCCACAATTCAGATAGAAGATCCGGGTTAAGTCTGATGGTAGGCACTGGGGAGCTGACAACAGGAAAACCATATGGACCATGTCACTCAGTCTTGGGGGGCCCCATCTGGAGATGAAGACAAGGGGAACAAATGAGGTAATGCTTTTTAGGCTTTTCACAGTAGACCTTGGTTAGCCCCGGGAAAACAGGCTTCCTCAGTGACTGGCTGGCAAGTGTAGGCCAGGCTAGACCCTGCCACCATGGGGAAATGCTGCAGAACCAGAATTCCTTTAGAATATGCTTCTTGACAACAGAGACCAACCAATTGGGAGGCAGTATGGTACAGTGGGAAGAGAGTGGGGAGAGAATGAGCATTTAGATATTCCATATGAGCATTTATGTATTTATTGTTGTTGTTCAGTTGTGTCTGACT